AGAATTTTCCACTAAAAAATGGTTTGCTCGTTTTCGCATGTCTGTTAAAATTTTGGTTTGAGGTGATGCGTCTTGGAGTCTTTTTGAAAGAGGCACGAAAGGAATCCCCATATTGTTTAGTCAAATCCGCTAGAGAATCTGTTTCAAAAAGATGAGTGGATGATGGTGGTATGGACTCTAACAAAGATGCTACTTGAGCATTTCGTGGAGTAAATGCCCTTCGCCTCTGCTCGATAACTTCCGCCCTACGGCCACACACATATTGTAAAACATCGTCTGAGAGCGATCTAAATGACGATTCAGAAGCCACTAAAAGGCGTTGAACATCTTTCTTAACAACTGGGTGAATATTAATAAGGGTATTCATCGAATCAGAAAATGCTTCTCTTTGAAGCAGAAGCCCATGTAGGATTGTACCTAGCGTCGAATCCATTTTTGCCATCTGATCCTGTAAGGATCTATCCGGTGCACACATATGGGAAATCTGCTCATTAACTTTCAAAGCGCTAAACACCGGGAAAGCTTGCAGTTTCTTCTGCACGTCTGAATAACGTACCTTATTAAACGCAGGTTTACCCAGCCTAAGACACTCAATTCCCTGCATTTGTATATGGGGTTTTGGAGGTGGTATGGCCGGCTCCTGCTCTTTTGTTGTAGGACCAAAGTCAAAATTAAATGGTTCATCAATATTGTCTTCTTCCTCCTCGTCTCCCAAATTTAACAAGGGAGGAATATTTTCCTGCTCCCGTTCAGTATCAGACATATCTTGATCAGATTCGTTATCTCGCTGGAATTCATTATCAGAAAGTGGCTTAAAGGTGTCTATAAATGATTGGAACATGATCTTCAGTTCCTCAGTAGATTTTTCTAATCTATCAATACGACTTTCATTATTACGCTGGGGAAGTCCCAAAGTTTTGGACGCTTGTCTATGGGTATTTAAAAAACTGGAAGCTCGTTCCGAGGTACTTGCGCTACTTGAAGCTCGTCCTTGGATACTTTCATTTTCGGATAAGTCTCCTGAGAGTTGAATGGAAGCTTCTTTACGGGAAATCATAAGCGGTTTTAAATCAGTAAGGGCAGCAATCACCAAGTCATTATGTGCAATCGCTCCTCTTATTCTAGCTGCCAAGTTAGACGGCCTTATTATCAGACCCACACAAAAGGGCCAGCTCAGCATTTTGATTTTCATGTCTCTGTACGTACGTTCTGAGAGACTAGTTGCTGTGGGATGGAAGGCTTGAACCAGTCCTACTGTTGGGAGACCGAATCTAATTTTATTCAAAACTTGAACATCATAGTCGACCCCAAGAAGCTCTGTTGCAGTATAAACACCAGCTTTCCATCGCTGCCAACCTTCAGGAAGCTTAGAGGCAGCTAGATCTTTAATTCTTCCCAAAATAATAGCGTCCGCTGGATCGTTTGGTATGATTTCTGCCAATTCTGCAAGTGTCTTTATAGCAGATATCATCTGAAAATAAATAAAAAACGGATGGTAGAGAATATCGACTTTGTCTTAGTTGGCACTTGGGCCCGCAACACATCACCCGACGTCCCACTATTGAGTGAGCCCACGGCCGACTCGGCTGAGATAAAAGCACAAATAGAGCCAACGGCTGCCTCTATTAAACCGGAGCCAGATGGTCTGATCGAGCCGACGGCTTATTTAAATCGAGGCAGCGACTACCTTGAATACGGCGGCTGCCCCAAAAGATCCAATGGCTGTCCCGATCGAGCCGGAGTCTGCGCCGATCGAGCCAGCGGCCGTCCCGATCGGGCCGGCGTGCGCGCCGATCGGGTAGCAATGTTCAATATGCCAGTTGGACAATGTTGTCGCAACCTGAACAAAACTGGATTAACGTTTTCATTAATTATTATCAAAAATATCTGGCCTAGGGAGTGCCAGAAACACAATAAATTTAAAAAAATTGTAACAATTTCCATGATTATTAATGCGAACTTATGAGCTACTGTAATGTGTACCTAATAAATAAAAAGATTAATAAAAGACATAATTTATTTACCTTTAGTAGATATTATCACTTCTAGATATTTCGTATTTTTACGTTATTTGTAAGATGAGATGCAATAAGCTGTTTATGCTAAGGAAACACAAAGCGTACTGACAAGATCCACACCTGTCACACAGAGGGAGACTAGATCGACTGTGATCGGGTGGGATCAGCTGACGACATGTAGAACGGAGCGTAACTTGAGATGCAAATAGGCGTAAAGCGAGAGGAAAACAGGGTTGTAATCTCGTTAGGGTCAAGCCGACGGCACAGGACTAAAATAGTTTTGTTTTCTCTTTTACCGTCAATTTAAATAACCTTAAATAGTATTCTGTCCCTGTCTGAGCGGGCTCGTGATGACGAGCAGCTCATTCTTGGATTAGGTACTATCCGCGTTAGTTTTCTTTTTCCCTTTGTATTCTTTATTTTTTTTTTTTCGTGCATATTGCAAATTACAGAAATCTTAAATAGCTTCATTACCCTGTCTGAGCGGGCTCGTGATGACGATCAGCTCATTCTGGGATAATAGGCTACCCAGGGTATAAATTTATTTTCTTTTCTCCCTTTCCGAATATTTACTATAAGTAGTTTAATTACCGACTAAGTAGTCAAGTTAATTTTTTTTTCTGCGACCGAAACACTCATTTTACTTTAATTCAACTTTGACGTCTGATTGAGATTAGTCGGGATTCAATACCGTCCGTTTTTTTGTTTTGTTTGTTCAGGGTTATATTGACTATCATCGCAACGATGGTGGGCATTGAAATATATAATTTTTTTTTATTTTTAATGTGTAAATAGTTATTCACAATATATGTGTCAATGTTAACTTGCCGTATTACTGGTTACTAATTCCATACTTTATTTCCCCCTTGTATTTCAGCTAGTAATAAATTCTGAACCAGCCCAAGCAACGATTAAAGCCCGTTACTTGTGGCCTACCATTACCTGTGCTTAAGTGACCTTTGATCCCTAGAATTTTTCATCTCCATCTGTAGCTACCCGAGTACTTTCGACGCCGTTTCGAGAATTTGTGGCGTAAACCATAACCAAAAATCTGGCGCTCGAGAACCGCCCGTAACCAGCGCCATTCGTAAGGGACCGTTTTCTCTGTGGCGAGAAAACCCTTTACATGCTAGAAAGCTGGCTAGGTGTGGGTGATCGGCTTCTCCGGGACGCACAGCTGCTGTAATTATTTCTTGTTGGACTTCGTGACGGGATTCGGGAGATTGATCTACGTGACTTTCTGGCCTTATTCTCTGATTCTTGATTTATAGAGCGAGCCTTGCTTCTGCAGGTCCTTTGAAGGTACCCGATTCTTCCACAATTAAAGCATCTTCTGCTTCCATTTTGCCTGTTTCGTTGCATATTTTGCAGGATATTTAAGATTTGTGAGAGTGTAGGTTGGAGAATAGTATTAGTATTGACCTCCTCACTTTCCTGGGATTTAGTTTCTCTCTTGCGCGAGAAGATCTGGATAGGAGTTTTACCGCTTCATATTCCTGGGCTGCAATTAGTTTCTCCCTCAGCGTCTTGTGATATTGTAGACGAAGGGATTGTTGCATTTCCACATCTTGTAGTCCATCAATGAATGCCAGTAACCCGATATGTCGAACTCGAATTCCTGTAGACTTTCATTTTGTTTCTGACTATGAACCTTTAGCTGGCTTTGAAAGAACCGTTTCAAATGCTGCTGGCCATATCTTTTCTCCAAAGGTTGGACGAGAGATGAATAACTGAGTTCTTCCTGGGGAAGTAACTGTAAAACGGTAGCTACCTCTCCTCGCAGCGACACTATCAATGTAGCCGCCATCTCTTTCTCGGTCCAGCCATTGGCTCTAGCTGCAGCTTCAAATTAGAGTCGATACGTTTCGTATGTTGTCTGACCGTCAAACGTGGGTGGCTTAATGGTCTTGCTAGTATGGCTTTGGTAAACTGGGTTTTGGATATGGCTTAGTTTGGTTATAGATGAGGACGAGGTAGTGTTTGCAGTTTCTCTGTTGCTTTTGTTTTTTTCTAATTCAACTAGTTCAGTTCTAATTTGCCTTTCTAACTATATTCTAGCCGTTTCTTGTTGTTTTAAATTAGTTTTTAAATTCTCTTGTTGTGCTAAAAGATCTATTTGACTGTTCAGTTGACCTACCTCTTGCTTAAAGTTTTCTTGAATTTGCAGCAAGCTATTTATAATCTCCACCTCCGCTCTTCTATGCCTCTCTGCCTTCTTCTCTTCTCGCCTTTCCCTCTTCTTCCTTCCTTCCTTCCTACACCTTTCCTTTTCCTCCTCTTTCTTTTCTCTTCCATCTTCAAAAGTAGCCTGAAGTATCCATATCTGTTTTGTGCGCAGTTGATCTAGTATTTACCATGAATAGAATGCTCGAGTAACTTTTATTTTATATCCCATCGCTGCCACCAATGTTACACAGCTTTTTGGTATCTCGAATTTATTTCCACACAACTTTTACAATAACTATCAACTGATAACATTAACGCATAATGTCTATTTTTCTGGTGCCAAATGGTTATGTTTCGACCTTTCAATGTAAAATACCCTAAACTAAAAAAAATATTTTTTTCTTTACAGGTACAACATGGTATGTAGAAAGCATAAAGGAGGAAAGAAGAAAAAAACAATAGTAAATGAAAACATATTGGGATGAATCGGCATAAAGTTTTGTTTTGCTTGTAAAGTGACCCGATTTCTTATATCACTAGTGCTAATTTTATTTTGTAAGGTTGGCTGCATTGTCCCTTTATAAAAGTCCTCTATTGCCTGTAAATGTTTTAGAACGCTAGGCTTCACGATGGTCCATAATCTGCCTGATATATTTACAGTGTATGTATATTCCTTTCTTTTTTGGTATTCAGTATATGTTAAATTAACTTTATAGTGCAGAATTAATATAGGGTTTTGTACTTAAAATTGGTCACATCCTGAGGTCTGAATGAGAAATGAAATCAATATTGCAAAGCATTGGAAAAAATACTTACCTTTATGCTTTTACCAGATATTTCAAAAATATCTTCTCCCGTTATAATCAAAATTTCGTGTCCAGGTGCTGCCATTGGACTATATAATTTTTCTTCTGTCAATGCCAGCATATAATACCACAAATCATCCTTTGTGTCAGTCATTTTTTCTATTGAATTGTCATTCAACACTAGCACTTTATAAGTAACTTGTTTTCCTCTAACAGGGTTCAATAACAGTGCTAATTTATTTTTGTGGTGTTTGTGGGTTATTATTAATAATCTACCAGGAGTTAAGGTTTTTTGGACTTTGGGATGAGACAATACACTATCCTAAAAATGAAAAATTGCTACATTTTGATTTATGTTATTTATATAACTTTATTCTTGGATGCTGTTTGTTGGTTGATTAGACAAATCATAAATAAATAAGGATAAGATGATTTTAATAGAAGGACTTACCATTATATTTTTTCTTGCGTTCAAATAGGCACTAGCTGTCTCATAGTATTTAACCAATGGTATGAGATAAGTACTTATTTGCTGTCTAGATAAATCTCGCATTTCTTCTTCTAAACTTTCCAATTTTTTTCTTATATCATTCATACCCTTTTGATGATCGATTTCTAGAAAACTTCTGGACATCATAGCCTCAACACTCAAACTTTCTACCCTAAGCAAACTTAATACCTAAATAAAATGTATATGCTATATATAATAAGTTCGAAACCATTTTAAATCGTAAATACTTACCATTCCATAAGTAAGCCTAAACTGGCTAACTAATGAACTAGGTTTTCCCAACATCATCTTTTTGAGGTTATATTCATTGGGAGCGCCTTGTTTGCACAAAATAATGACGGTTCCCTCCTTATCCAAGCCACGCCTACCTGCACGACCTGCCATTTGTATGTATTCCGCCGATTCAAGATCTCTCATTTCTTTGCCGTCATGTTTTCTTACGGAATCAAAAACTACAGTACGTGCTGGCATGTTAACACCCATAGCAAATGTTTCAGTAGCGAAGAGAAGCTAAAAAACAATCAATATTAACGTTCCGATTAAAAAACAGTAGTTAAAAGCAACTTACCTTTATATAGCCTTCTTGGAAAAGCATTTCAACGATTTCTTTAATAATTGGTAAAATGCCACTATGATGCACACCTATTCCTCTAGCTAAAATATCCTTCATCTTCATAATTTGAGGTATATTCTGATCAGGTTCCTTAAGACACCTAAAAAGACACATTTTTTTATTGAAAATTGACTGAATCAGTTGCGATTTTAAATATTCATATTTTTTTACCTTATCCATCTATTAAAAGACAAAGTAATATGCGCCTTCTCTTTCTGCGTTGTTAAATCTAAGTTCGTTAAATTCGTAGCGTTGTTGTCACATTTCTGTCGGGAAAAAGTGAATGCTACCACCGGCAACAAATTGTTTTTCTTTAAATGACTTACTAGTCCCGACCAAAGCGTTTTGTCTTGAGCTGGGGTCATTTTTTGATACATATTCATCTGGGAATCCGGTTTAATTGATTCCTTGGCCTTTGCATATCTGAAATGTTGACATAAAAAATGATTCTGAAACATATAACAAAAGATATTAAGATTTGAAAGGAAGCAATCTGCCCTCTGCTGTAAACATAAGTTACTCCTCATTTTATAGATATACATTTAACCTTGACAGTTTTTTTATGCGATTAAATGGCATTTTAGGTTAGTATTTTGTTTGAAATTGAAATAATTTATTTAATAATAAAGCTAATAAATTAAATTTTTATCATCGCTACTAAAACAGACGTTTAAATGGAAGTACAATGAGCGAAAAAGAATATACTTATTGTTGTGTAGCCAATGTTTGGAGTAAAAGAGCATATACAAAAATATTAGATGAATTCAGTTATTGACATGTTTATGTTTATCCACTGAATTCACTTTTCCAGCATGAACCTTGTTGAGATAAAAATCGACGTATCTCGATACTTTTGCATATTATTAATTTTTGAAATATTTGAGGTGAATCATTTTTAAGTAAACAGTTATTCTTTAATCCTTTAAAATCAAAACAAAGTACCTATGTGAAATCTTTTTTTTATTACAATTTTAATGAAAATAAAGTTATTTACCCATTTTGAATCCAAGTTTCAGCATTTAATATCATGAATCTATTGTCTCTAGTGCTTCCCCCTTTTCCTGTATACAAATAATGTTGCAAGGGAATAGGTCTTTGATAAGTAGTAATAACATAAACTTTTCTTTGGTGGGTATTACCCAACCAATCTGCAAATTCCATGGTATTTGGAACAGTGGCACTTAGAAGAACTACACATACTTGTGCTGGAAGCATTATTAAGACTTGTTCCCACACATGACCTCGTTCTCTGTCATTAATATAATGTACCTAAAGAAAATATTATTAGGTTCAATTTAATACAGAATGATTAGTACAGTTATTTATACAGTATGTCCCCCTAAGTTGGAATCATATGGAAAACTTTATTATTAATTTTAGGAAAAAAAGTTATTCTTTATAAAAAGTTCTGCATTATCTAAAACCTAGAATAGAGTCATCACATATCAAATTTTTTCAGTGGTATACGAGGTGTGTCAAAAATATGAGTTTTACTCAAGAGTAAAGTACCTTTATTCTTTATACGACTGATAAAATTTGATATTTGATGGTTGTATTTTAGGTTTTAGACCATGTTCGACTTTTTATAAAGAACAACTTTTTTTCCTAAAATTAGTAATAAAAAAGCTTTCCACCAACTGCCTACGTAAATTGGCGGCATATGAAAATCTTTTTTATTATTAATATTGGGAAAAAAGTTATTCTTTATAAAAAGTCGAGCATGGTCTAAAACCTAAAATACAACCATCAGATATCAAATTTTATCAGAATCGTATAAAGAATAAAGGCACCTTACTCTTGAGTAAAACTCATATTTTTTGACAAACCTCGTATACCACTGAAAAAATTTGATATTTGATGACTGTATTCTAGGTTTTAGATAATGCAGAACTTTTTATGAAAAATAACTTTTTTCCTAAAATTAATAATAAAAAAGTTTTCCATATGATTCCAACTTAGGGGGACATACTGTATATAAACCGGTTAGGATACTAATCTTACTTCATCAAAAATAACATATTCTAGATCCCTGGTGATATCACTACCACAATATAACATAGATCTCAAAATTTCAGTGGTCATGATAAGGCAAGATGCTTTTTGGTTAATTTGAAAATCTCCTGTGATAAGGCCGACATCTTGGAACTTTTCTTTGAAATCCCTATATTTCTGATTTGACAGAGCTTTAATTGGAGATGTGTATATTGTTTTTGTCATATGTCTTTGGGAAAGAGCTATTGCATATTCAGCTACCACTAAAAAAAAACAAAACTATTTTTACAATGCAAATCAAGTAACATTGAAATGCAAATAAACTCTAGTGGAATTTCAATTTTATCTACTATTACCAAAGCTTTTGAAGCTATCTTAACTGACGAAATATTCGCAACATACAAACAGTACATAATTCTTCAACAACATTGATTTTTCAAAGGACGATCCACAACAACAAATTTAGGTTAGGTTTAGTGCTTCAACGATTTGTTGGCAAGATAAATATAAATAAATTACGGGACTTTATTGTAACTTACTTTACTGAACACTGAACACGCCACTGAGGTAGATAAAGTTGAAGTGTTTTGCTTAGTGAAAATCTAAAATTTGTTGATATTTTCTGTTTTGAAAATTTAAATAATCATGTTTTTGTTCAATCTAAAGAGTAAAAATAAAACCACATTTTTACTTTATATTCTGCATTTGATAATATTCTACATTGGAACCGTAGTGAACTATCGCATTTAAATTAGAGTTTTTTGTCTCAGAGATGTTTACCTATGCCATAGGTGGAACATCAATAATTTAACCATGAATGACTTTACAAAATGTTCCAAGTGCAAATTTATTAAAAATGAGGGATTAGTCGGTTGCGAAGGGGTATGTTCAAAATGGTTACACTACTCTTGTATAGGACTAACCAATGTGAAATTTTCAACGCTTACCAATAGTAAAAATCTTTTTTTTCTTTGTGATTCTATAAAAAAGTGTGATATAATTGAAAAAAAGGATAAGGATGATCAGCTAACCTCAATCAATGATTCCGTCAATATAGTAAAGGATCTAATTCAAGACAAAATTCAAAAAAAGATAGATGAACTATTCCAGTTTAAAGATGATATAGAGGCATTAAAATCGGAACTCAGTCAAAAGGTCCTACAGTACGAGTGGCCCGTCCACTAGTTCTCCACCTTCTTTGTTCTCCGAGGCTCTTAAAAAACAGTCTTCTTATATAATTAAACTGAAGAATAAACAAGATTCCCTTGCTATCAAAAATGATATGGTTAAGAGTATAAATCCTATCTCCACAAATCTAAATCTGACCAAAGCAGTTAACGTTAAAGATGGCGGTCTTATGGTGAGTTGCAGAAAAATGAGAAGACTGTCATAAATTTAAAAACATCGTGGATGAGCAGCTTTAAGAGGAGTATTTACTTGGCTGTAGAGCGGAGCATGCAAGGGTTTCGTAGTACCCCACTTTTAAAGTTTATTTTTGACTTATTCTGAAAGAAAAAAATATGTACGTGTAGGTAAAGGATAAATCTATGCTCCTCTGGAGACAATTTTTTAAAATTTGAAAATGTTTTTTCTAAAAAAAATTACAAGACTTCACTTCTTTTGTCCATTTTCTCAATTTTTTTTAGAAAAAACTAAATTGAATTTTGAAAAAGTGGTTCCAGAGGAGCATAGATTTAACCTTTACCTACACGTACATATTTTTTTATTTTAAAAATAGTCAAAAATAAACTTTAAAAGTGGGGTACTACGAAACCCTTACATTGCAAGATTTTTCGTCTGGAAAGTGGCGCCTCTGTTAGATTTTTAAGAAATTAATATTTGTGAATGAAAACAATTTATAATATATTTTACTGATGTTTTACGAGGGATGAATAAATTTTACGTATTTGTACATCTTATTTTTTACGTAATTTGTTTCTGTAATACTAAGATTGGCATATATATTATATGCAAGGGTTTCATAGTACACCAATTTTACGGATTATTTTTTAATTTTACTAAAAGAAATTTTATGTAAGTACAGGTAAAAGCTTAGCTAATACCCCTCTGGATTCACTTTAAAAATATGAATCAGTCTCTTTTGAAAAAAATCTAAAAAAAGAAATGTTAAAAAATGCTAGAAGTGAACAATATATTTAATTTTTGCCTACAGCAGCATTTATTTTTATTACAATAAAAATAGAAATATATTAAAAGCTTTTTCGTCTATATATCTTTTTCTACTATTTAGTGATAAACAGTACGTAAGTGATTTGAATGGACCATAAATTCAGAGCAAAATAAGATTTGGAAATTTATTTGCAACTAAAAGTTTTTAAATGTGGACATTTTATTGAATTCGAATTTGATTATGTTGCTGCCAGTCTGGATGGAATTAAAAAAAAAAACAAACTTTATGATAGAGTTAAAATGTCCATATATGGAGCTGAAGTGCTGACTGTGGAAGAAGAAATAAGCAGTAGAGAAATATAACTTTTTGGAAGAGGGACAATACCATTAAGGAGAACCACTATTCGTATTTTCAAATTCAGGGCTAGCTGCACATAACACAAATGGATTTTTGCATTTTGTGCTTTTGGAGTTCTGGAGGAATAAAAGTGGAGGAAATATCTCATATTGACAGCTTTTGGGAAGAAAAGATACAAAATAAAATTAAAAATTACGGGACAAAATATTATTTAATTCGTGAGAAATTTTGTTTAATGTTTATTAACATAACCCAAGGAATCTTAAATTATTTTGAATATTTTTATTAATTTAAGAATTACATTTTATTTAGTTCTAAAACATGGTAGTAGGCTATCCATTTAAGATATGATTAATGTCTTATTATTATAATACACTATTTTAAATTTAGGATATTACCAGTGGCAGTGGTAATTGATGATATATAATTATTATTATACCAAATGTTTTAAAAGGCTACATCAACTAGTGGACCATGCTTTTAAGTCCCCAAATAATAGTTTCAAGATTTTGATTTGGATTAGAAGTTTTACTATACAGAGTTTTGTGTCAAAGCCAAGTCATGTAGGTATTGTTTTTGTAATACGTAGATGAGTAACTATCATCAATAGAAATTTAAAATTCACACATAAATCTTGGTAACGACGTTATTTATAACTTTATTAACTTCATAACGGTCAAAAATGTTAGTTAACTTATTTAATTTTAAATATAAATTGATTTTCATTTTAACTTAGAAATTTTCGAAAAGTTCACTATATTGTTTAGTTGTTGAAACTTTACTACGCTTAATTAGCGTTCAGATTAAAATATGAATTGATTTATGGAGCTTAACTGACAAACAGGAACTAATGTTTTCATTCCAAAAAAAGTATTATGGCCAATAAAAAGATTTTCGAACTGTGATATCTGCAAGTCCTTATTTAAAACCTTTAAATTTAATATTATCATTATACAAGAGTTACTTTTACAAATTGATACACATATCGAACATAAGTTTGTTGACATAAACATTATTTCCATAATACAAATAAATATACCTTTGTTAAAGAATACTCATAATTTATTTAATATATTCATTTAAACATGTTTTTGTTTTTTGTCTGGATGATATTGAATAGTAAATTTTTCTATATAACTTCTTATCGAGACATTGTGAGATAAAAAAACAGACAATTAATTAAAAGCGTACTCATAATTTTTCAGGTATAGAAGTTTCAATGCTATACTGTTTCCCAAATTATGAAAATACTAAAGAATATTTAAAAAATAAATAAAAAGCCAATTAAAAAATGTGTTAATATCTACAGAAGAACATCGTATTTCTTTATTGGAAACAAAGAGTAGTCGAAAATTGTGAAATGAACAGCATATTTTTATTTCACAAAAATAATAAGTCAGTTTTTGTTTTTTATGTAAATCATATCATTTTCAAGGCAATAAAACAAAAGAAAAGTCACCGAATACCGATTTCTAAAAGGTTTATTAGTTTTTATAGGAAATGGAAAGAGAAAGAACGCTTTTTAAACGAGTTAAAATTCTTTATTAATTTCGATAACTATAAACGGATTAAGGTATTTTGTACCGTGTTAAAAAATTTGAAAAATATTTCTTTTTTTTTTTTAAATTAGTAAACTTTGACAAATTATACAATATTCTAAAAGATAAATCACATTTATGTGATTATACAAAAATTTTATTTATTTTTCTAAAATAATATGGATTGTCCTCTAAAATATATATATTGGCTCGCAAAAAGTCTGCTTTTTTATGTTACTTTTTTCAGAAAATGTTATTACTGATAAAACTTTAATTAAACCTAATACTTTATTTATTCAAAAAATTCTGTACCATAAATATAAATTTGGCTGCATGGTGAACTAGGTACTCTTCTAGGAACCCAACCCACATTTTTACATACCTATAAGATTAATTTAAGAAGATGTATATAACTCCACATAGTAGTTTTTTAGTTAATATAATTAATATAGATTATTATATCCTTTTTAACCTACTTCAAAAAGGAGGAGGTTCTCAATTCGTCTGTATATATTTTTTATGTATGTTCAGCGATAATTCTTTAACACAATGTCCGATTTAAATGATTCTTTTTTGCTGGAAAGGGGGTACCTCAGGGGTTGTCCCATATAAATTTGGTTAAGATGTGGTGATGGAATCTGCACGATTTTAAAGTCGGTTTTTTAAAATTACTTTTAATACTTGTTACGTAAATTAAAAGTTTAATAATTTGGTGCTTTCTTGATGCGTCGTTTTATGATTTCACTTTGTATATGTTTAAGTACAGATAATTATTATTACTGGCAGTTTATTTTAAATCATTGAAATAATATTTTGTTGATCCAAAAAAGGCAAACAAAAAAGCCATGTCACAGTCAGTGTAATAATAAAAATTAGATATATAAATACAGTATATTATGTACCAACAGACTAAACTTTCACTTTCAATCCCGCCTTTTGTCGTAAAAGACTTTTACATTTTTACCCGTGACGTTCGTACCGGGTTTGAACAGAATATTTTTGAACAGAAATATGGTGCGCCACTGCTTTTTCTAAAAACCAAAATTATCTTTAAAATCCTTATTTATTTTGGAGCAAATTTGGTTTATATACGTACTTTCGTACGACGCACTCTTTTCGCGGAAGAAAATAAAAACCAGTATATTGAAACTGCTTTTGATATTTTGTTGAAATTTGATAGGAACCCACCATGAGTGGAAACACTTTTTTTATGCAAAATTTCATAAACATATCTAGA